CGTTCGTCGCGCGCGTCGTCGTTCGTTTCGTTTTTTCGTTTTTTTTGTTTTTTTGTTTTTTTTTTGTTTTTTTTTGTTTTTTTTGGTTTTAAAGGGGTTTGGTCCGGCGTCCCATCCCAGGAGCGCAAGGCGAGGCAGGCTGGCGTAGGAGGAAGGAAGGAAAAAAAAAAAAGCTGCGGCACCAGGGGCTGCGGTAGATTCCATCACGGGTGGGGACGGTACGTAGTACGGACTACGTAGTGGGTCGTAGTAGTATTTTACAATACTATGTGGTTACTAATAGATTGGAAACGGGGTCGGGTATAGTAGGTAGGTACCGGTAGTACAGTAGGTGCGAGTACAAGAAATTTCCAAGCGGGAAGATAAGGCTGGACGGACGGAGGATATGTAAGTACCTGCGTAGGACGTAGTGAGTGAGATTAAGGGGTTCGGTAGCATAGTATAGTATAGTATAGTATAGTAGTAGTATTTCGGTTGGCTTGAAATGAAACCCTTGGTAGAGCGTACCGTGGCGTACTGTAGCGCGCTCCACTGTTTAACACTGTTACTGTTAGTAGTACTTAGTAGTACTTACCCCTTGTTGTGCATGTGCCCCCCGGCTATATACAGTACCAGTAGTAGTACATTTACATTTACATTCACAGTACCGGTACCTAATTACATTTAGTAGTCTTTATTTCCTACTGCTGTGAAGTCCTGCGAAGGACTGCTCAGCGGAGGTAAGAAGAGGGGAGAGTCGCACGTAAGTCACAAGTACGTAGTAAGTAGGTCACCACTAACAAGCAAGTCACCAGTCACAGGTCGCACGCAAGTACGGAACAGGTAAGGAAGGAAGAAGAGGGTGCCAGACCGTCCCAGACCCCTTGGTTCTTGCCTCTGTACGGTACGGTACGGTACTGTACTGTAAATGCGATCTTGCATACCTATTCGACCCATCGTCGATCTACCGTACGTACAGGTACGTCTAGTACTGTAGTGTACTGTAGTGGTAGTAGTAGTAGTAGTAGTAGTAGTAGTAGTAGTAGTAGTAGTAGTAGTAGTAGCTTGGAGCAAGCCCTAGCCGGGGGCCACGGTCGGACTTGCATCGGATGTCAGTCAGCTTTACGCGATTAGTACTAGTAGTATGTAGTCGTAGTATGTACTGTAGTATGTAGGAATTACGTAGTAGTAGTACGTACGTAGTAGTACCACGGTACAGGCGTAAGTATTACCCCTCGAGGGTGCCTTAAGAGTTTAGTTTCCACCTTAAACCTCCTGTTTTCCTTACCTTCGAAGGGTAATATACTACGTAGTACTTACGCCTGCGACCTAGTACAAACGGAGGAATCAACGGTATATCTACCTATCCTTGAGCTTATAGACAAAAGTACTCCTACGTACGTACGTACTTATATCTCTTCAGAGTCCCTGCAAAGAATCCTCTTTCTCTTCCTTCATCCAATTTGCCCTTCAAACAAATACCTAGTCTTGACAAACGTTATCATCAACTTTCATCAACTTCTTATTATTTTTTCTCAAGAAAACTCTTGCTCCATCGATCAATGTATCACTATGCTATTCGTGAACGCCCTCGTTCGCCGCCGCGCTCGCAGCGTCGATAGTAACAGCAGCACCGGCGACAGTGGCTATCAGAGCGGACCGGCAAATCAAGCTGTGCACAGATCGGAAATTCAAAGGCTGCGTCGAAAGTCCGGCTCCCTCTGATACGTGCGGTACGACGACTCTTTCCACCCTCACCCTCCCGTTCTCGATCTCATTCTTTTTCATCAGCATCAACGCTGATCCGATTGCATAGTGAACACGGCACGCCTGGAGACGGGTCCCCTGAACGACCAGATCAGCTCGTTCGATGCCCACGCGCTCACCCGCTTCTGATTTGTGTAAGCCCATTCATGGTCTTCGATTCGACGGAAGGATCCGTCGCGGCAAAAAAAAGTAGGAGTCGTATGCACACCGCAGCTGACCCAGAGCAGCGATCCCGATTGCAAGGGCAGACATTTCAGCTCGCCGGGGTCGATTGCAAACCTGGAGAACCACAAGGCGCATTCCGCATTTCAAGATAAGATCAGCGCTTCCTGGTGCAATCGGTAGACTCGATCCGGTCTTTCCAGATAGTAAGTAGTACGATCGGCTCTGATTACTGCAATCAGAGGAAAGCTTTTGCCAGAGCGGGGGCTCGGAATATCTCAGAAGGCTGGGCTGTGAGGTATAGATACAAGAAACAAACGAATCGAGCAGAAGTTTTCTTGAAAAATCACGCAATTTTTTTTTCTTTTTTTTTTTTCTGATTCGCTATTCGAGTAGCTGGGTAATAGGTAGTCAGTGCACACTGACTGACTTTGTGACCTGCGGGCTCTCGCTCACAAGTCAGGGCAAGCAAGTGTCCCAGGGCAAGCCAGTGTCCCATCTCAATTACTTCAACCTACATCGAAAGAACGTCGCAACGACTCTCACTATAATATTCAAAACCAGATGCATACACACATCAGCGTAACCGAGATCTCTCACAGTCCACCCAAGTCTAAATAAAATCTCTCTCTCAACAATTTTACCAATCAACAAAATAAACCATCCTTGATAACCGATAGAATTCTCAATTGAAAATCAAAACATCTTGTATTAAAAATTTATATATACATTTTTTCATCTTCACCGTCTTTCAAATTCAAATTGCATTTCCATATAAAAAATCTGACGTTTCACAACCTCTTTCTTCATCAAGCGGACTCGTACCATTTTTTTTTCATTCTAATTTTCATAATCATTACTTTATAAAAGCTGTAGATATAATCGAAAAAGTGGAGATGTTCTTGAATCTGCGCTAAACTAACTGTCCGAGCTCTTTTTTTTCGCCGTGACCATCGTCATTTTGCGCGCAAGAAGTATTATGCTACTGATTTTCATAATAAAAAATATATATACTATATTTTATACATCAAGTATCATTCACTCATCTCGATTCGTATACCTATCTGATTTTGATCGTTATAGCTTTTTTTTGGTTACTGATTTATTTGTAATACGAATCGCGATTGTCGATTCTTTTCGATAAAGAATCAAAAAACCTTTTTTTTTTTTTTTTACGATTTGCAACTTGGATTACGTGATAAGAAAAAGAGCTATGTTGATAAAATTTGAATGCATGAATCGGCGGAATGGAGCTCTTGAAAAAGTATCAAATCGTTAATATAGTAGCTTTATTCGCTATTAAGTTATTTCTCAAACAAGTTGAAATAATTGAAGTGGAACACTTGCGTGACCTGGGACGCTTGCTTGCCTTGACTGTGACCGAGAGCCCGCAGGTCACAAAGTCAGTGCACTGACTATTATCACCGATGTTTCGTTTAATTTGGTAATAGGACATGTCGAAAGTATAATAATTTCGCAAGGGATCTTCCCAGGGCGTAAGCCGATCAACTTGGTACTACTAGTCCTTACTACGACTACGTATAAGTAGGGATCCGTTCAGCCTTAAAAAGTATCTTTGCGCCCGTCTTGAGCCTGTGCAATAGAGTTGACCGGGCTCTGAGCCATTCAGAAATCACCGCTCGGCGATGTACGGGGCTGAGCTGGGTCCGACATTGATTCATGGCGGGGGAGAGTCGCAGGGAAGGAAGCAAGAGGTTTGAAGGGGGTAACCTCACCTTACCAGACCGGGCTCTGCTTTTGCCGAAATCTCGAATTTCGCTTAGGATAGGGACACATCCATACCGGCTAATGCGGGCGCCGAATTACCCTGCTCCATGCTCGGATTTCGAAGTCAAGATCTATATAAGAGCTTCGACCGGCCCCGAGGGGAGGGAGAAGGTGTTTCCCCCGAATCGCGACGGGTAGTGTCGGTCTGCCTCGAGGAATCATGATGATGCTGGCTCGGATATGCGCTGCGGGTGCAGCTCTCGCACAGCTAGTCCACGGCAAGAATAGCAGCTCTGCCTACCCACTGGAGACCCAAACTTTTCAGTACAAGTACAGTTCGGTTGCGATTACCGGTGGCGGGTTCATCACGGGAATCATCGCGCACCCGAAGGAGCAGGCTCTCATGTAATTAATCCTCGGGCCCCCGGAGGGAGGGGGGGTGGTCGCTACATTACGAGAGACTGACCGCCCACCAGGTACGCGAGAACAGATATCGGGAGTTCGTACCGATGGGACGGGCTGCAAGATCAATGGGTTCCGCTCACGGACTTCATCAGCGAGGCCGACGTCAACTATCTAGGGACCGAGACGTTCGCCCTCGACCCCACCGATCCGGATCGTCTGTACCTGGCGCAGGGACAGTACACCAACCAGAACAACTCGGCCTTCTTCGTGTCGGCTGACCGAGGCGCAACCTTCGAGATCTACCCGGCGCCGTTCCCCATGGGGGCGAACGAGCTGGGACGTAACAACGGCGAGAGGCTGGCCGTCAACCCCTTCAACCCCAGCGAGCTCTACATGGGCACGCGCACCCAGGGACTGTGGAAGTCGACTGATCAAGCGGCGACCTGGACGAATATCACCAACTACCCCGATGCGTCCGCGAACGGCATCGGGATCGTGTTCGTCCTGTTCGACCCGCAGAACGAGGGCACCATCTATGCGGGAGCGACCGTCCCCAACGGCCTCTACGTGACCACTGACGGCGGCGAGACGTGGAGCTCGCTTCCAGGACAGCCACAGGACTGGGAAGGGGTCACGACTGACCCCGAACATCCACCTGCAAGCACTGGGCCCCAGCCCATGAAAGCCGCCTTGGCTTCCAATGGGCTATTGTATGTCACGTATGCTGACTTCCCCGGTCCGTATGGGGTGCAGTATGGCTCTGTGTGGAGCTACAATACCACATCTTCGCAGTGGACCGATATCACGCCCGGGGCTGGGAACTCCTCCCCTGCCCCCTTCACACCGCAGACCTTTGCGCCTGGGGGCTACTGCGGACTGAGTGTCGACGGCAAGGATCCGAACACTCTCGTCGTAGTCTCGCTGGACCGCGAACCAGGACCAGCGCTCGATAGCATGTACCTCTCTCGTGATGGGGGCGCGACGTGGAAAGACGTGACTCAGCTCTCTTCGCCGCCTGACACGGGCGGCTACTGGGGCCACCCCATCGAACAAGCCGCCCTCAAAGACGGGACGCCGGTCCCCTGGCTCAGCTTCAACTGGCAGAAACCATGGGGTGGCTACGGGGCTCCGTCCCCCATCGTTGGCCTCGCCAAGTTTGGATGGTGGATCACGGCCGTTCTCATTGACCCTTTCAACTCCGATCACGTCATGTACGGCACCGGAGCCACCATCTGGTCTACCGACAACCTCAACCGGGTGGAGGCGGACCAGGCGCCCGACTGGTACATCCAGGCACAGGGTATCGAGCTGAATGCCGTGCTGGCCATGATCTCCCCCACTGACGGGGCGAATCTCTACAGTGGCCTCGGCGACATCAGTGGCATGCGCCACGACAACTTGTCTGTCCCGCAGCCGATGTTCGGGTCCCCAGGCTTCTCCAATCTCGACGGGCTGGACTGGGCAGGCAACGCGCCGAATGTCATCACCCGCTCGGGAGCTAGCGGCGTATCATATGAAGACGGATGTGGCAACGGCGCCTACTCGACAGACGGCGGCCTGAGCTGGGTGAAATTCCTCACCTGTGTTCCGGGCGTGGGTACCCAGACGTGGGTCAATGGCTTCATCGCCGTCGACGCTTCCGGGCAGTATTTCGTCTGGGCCTCTCGCTCCTCGGTGGCACCAGCCAACGCAAGCGGTCCCTACGCGACCAGCGATTTTGGCAAGACCTGGACCTCGCCCCAAGGACTGGATGTCCAGACCGGCAACCTCTGTGCCGACAAAGTGCAGCCGCAGACCTTCTATGCCTTCGACGCCGGCGTTTGGTATATCAGCACAGATGGCGGCGCATCCTACACATCCCGACCGGCCTCAGAGACCGGCCTGCCGGACGGGGCGGGCGCGGTACCCGTAGTCAACTTTGGCCAAGCGGGCGAGGTCTGGCTGCCTCTCGGCTCAGACGGGCTGTGGCATACCGTAAACTTTGGCCGCACGTGGACCGCCATGCCGGGTTCCCTTACCACGTCACAGTTCTCTGTCGGAGCTCCCGCTCCGGGAGGGACGGGGCCAGCGTTGTTCCTCTGGGGCAAAGTGGCCACGGAAGGGGCGCAGGGCCTCTACCGCTCTGATGATTCCGGCGAGAGCTGGGTCCGGATTAACGATGATGCACACCAGTACGGAGGGCCCAAGCGGATCGTGGCCGATACGAGAGTTTATGGACGGGTGTATCTGGGGACCTTTGGCAGGGGCATGGTTTATGCGGATATCGCGGGTGATGGGAGCGGGGTGCTGCCTGGGACTTTCGGAATCTAGATTTTAGTCGTTGTTGTTGTTATTATTGAATATCAGATGAAATCAAAAATTGAAATGGAAAGAAACTTAAACAGGTAAGGAAGTGGAAGATCAATTCATATTCATACTCATCATGTCTACGAGGGAAAACATATTTCACTAATAAATACACTCCGACCATACCGACAAGAATGAAATGGGAGAGATCCACTTGGGTTCCTCCTCCAAGTCAAGCGAGGAATCCACGTGGAATCCTCCTCAGAGTCAGAGGCCAGCCTCAATGACTCGTGCAGATCTCGTATCAAGCTTAGGGGCGTCGCCTTCATCACTTCCTTTGCACTAGCAAGGACAGCCCGCAAGATTAGTCACGGGAAACAACCGGGTACGATAGTAGGCGGCGGATTCCTCCAGGCCGAGCCCGCTCAGCAGATCGATCACCGTGAAGCCGCTCTCCGCAAGCACCGGGCCAAAGCGGCGCTCGTTCTCGGCGTCGGTGGCAGGATCACCTACCTTCTGCCACGTCTCACACTTCGCAACCACCTGCAGCATCTCCGCCAGGGACTCCGGGTGGATATGCCCGAGCTTCTGCACGAGTCCGCAAATAAGAGAGACCCACTGCACGACTCTCTCACCATCCAGCGTCCCTTCGTGGGCGCGGAACTCCACAGTGGGAATATCGTCACAGAGCCCGTCGTCCCGCGCAAACTGCCACGCATTGAGGAAATTGCACGCCATGAACTTGATCCGGCTGTAATGCGTCGCTTGGTCCAGCAAGCCCACTAGCGTCGTGCACGTCGCCAGCTCGGCCAAGCCCTGCAGCACCGTCGGGGGCTGGCCGCGGCGGCTCTGGTAGCGAAAAGCCAGTCTTGAGGCCGCTCGCAGGCTTCGCGCGTAGGGGTTCTGGCACGGCTGGCGGTGAGGCGGGTGCAGCGTCTGGAATTGCGGCTCGCAGGTCCAGAGGAGCATCAGGAGCGCGTGCATGGTGCTGAAGGCGAACGTCTTGCCTCTGCCGCTGCTTCCGGCTGAGACGTGGACGTGCAAGCCGGCTGATTCCACACCGGCGTCCACCACGAAGGAGTCCGAGAGGAGCGCGCACACGTGCGCAACCTGCTGCAGCGAGGCCGCGCTAAAGGGGAGCGCGGGCGATTTGATTTCCATCGGCAGCCAGCGGTAGTGGCGCGTCGCGGCAGTCGGCATTGGGGCTTTCACGCTGTGGTCAGTGGCTACTTGCCAGACGGCGGGGTTTCTGTTGCCAAAGACGCCGGGGACGGGGTAGCCGGCGATGTTGTGGATGAGGGAGGCGAGGGTTCGACTTACACATATTGATTTGAGGATGACGTCGTCTTCGCTGATGGTTTTCTCGACGCCGCCGGCGAGCGGGTGAACGAAGTTACTCCTCCAATATATGTGATCGGCGGGGATACTGGGGAAATACAGCTGGCGTGTCTGCTTTGGGTCAGGGGGCTGGTCTTGGAGGGTGTAAGCGAGGTTGAACTCAAGTTCGACGCCGAAGGTGATGGTAGAAGATGATGACATTGTCGATGTAGTTATTGAATCAGATTGTGGATAACTGAAATGAAATGAAGCATGTGGATGGACATATTAATATCCGTCAAGTTGTTGTTGTTTTTGCTGTTGTTATCGTTGTTCTGGGATCTGTCAGCTGCTATAAAAGAACAATGAATGCTATTGTTTTACGCCTTTGATAGCCACTGGAACGCTCAAATGTTTCATCTGTAACAAAGAGCATATAACAAGAACAAGACTTTGCATAGCTATCAAAAATGAACATCTCTCTGTTTCACCCAGTGTCTGGCTCGGAATAGCCCGGTCGTGTGGAGTGTATTCGGAACATGATATCGGTGATCAGAGACCGGTCGGAGGAAGGCTAGCGGTGGAATTCCGAAAGCGCAATTGAGTGAGGGGGGTGTGATGACGGCTTGGGAAGAGCCTGGACGGCGAAAGCGAGAACGATAGGATATGAAATTCAATATGCTAGGAGGGAAGATGAGGTACTGGCTGGCTTCCGTGATGAAAATCTAACAACCATGTCTCTGCTTTCTCGGCTACCATGACTACCATCGTGGCGAGTTCTCAGCGGGACATCGTAGGAAACGGTGAGATTCCGCATTTAAAATCCGAGAGAGATAGACGGATAATTTTTCATCAACCAAATACTTGGGAGATAGAGAGATATGGGAGAGTAAGGAAGAGTATGGACACGGAAAGAAGAGTCCTGGGGATGTGGTCAAATTTGAGTCTTACGCTAAGCGAACCGAGAACCAGCCGAGCAAAGCTAAGTAATCTCATATCTCACATCCCATGTCATCGATGAATTTCATCCATGACCAGAAATCACTTAAGAAAACCACCAGCGTATCCAATATGGCGCCTTCACCTCTCCAACAGCGAAGAACTCACAATACGCTGCTGTTTCAAAAGCTCTTGAACCTCAGAGATAATGCAAGTCCTTTCACTCTGGTCTTGGATAATTTGGAGCAGAGTGGAGGACCCGTTGTGCGAGAGTTTGCGCGGCGAGCGAAGGTGAGTTTGCTAATGCCATTTTTTTATATCTTCGCTCCTTTTAGAATTTTCTTATCCTAGATCTGCTGGGTATACACACACACATGTATATATATAGCGTCCTTCGCTGGATTCCCTGTCTTTCTCTCAGAGCCCCAATCTTTTTTTTGTGATATCACGTGCCTCCACAGTATACACTATCTATTTGACAAGCCCTGCTAATCTTGGTACTAGATCTCAAAGAGCAAGATAATATTCGTCTCCTTTTCTACTCTCCCCAAGAAAGTCCGGTTCAGCATCGACGTCTTCGTTACAGCTCGCCGCAAGCCGCTAGCAGCGCTGCGGACAGAAATCCTGTCCCATCTCCCACCACCACCAACAGCCGCACCCAACCCATCTACAACCCTACCAAGTCCGTCAATCTCATCTCACCACTCGAAGACCGCCTACTGACCAAGCAAGAGTACCTTCTAATAATCGACACCCTCCAGTCCCTCTCAACCACGCACCCCAACCACCTATCCCCATTCCTCTCCTCTCTGCTCATCTCCCCCCAGATCTCCCTCCTCGCCACATACCACACCGATATCCCTCTCCCACGCCCCACTTCTCCCTACGCGCCCCCACCGCTCACCACCCTCCTCTACCTCGCCACCGCCATCCTCACCGTCGCCGCCCTCCCCCATGTCCTCGCGCAGAAGCGCGCACGGGACAAGAGTATCCAGGAACCCGTCTTCGGGATCCACGAAGAACGCGAAGGCGTCCTCGTCGGTCTGGGGAGGAATGTCTGCAGAGATGAGGAAAAAGGTGTAGTCGTCAATATGGAGATCCGACGACGCTCCGGCCGAGGCGTGCTGGAGAATTTCGTCCTCCTCCTTCCCTCCCCCCCTCTTGCTACCGCTACCACTCCCGCCAGAACCACCAGCAAATCATCCTCACCCGCCGCTGGCCTCGCCGAGTTCGTTTTGCTCGACGACCACCCGCTCTACGCCTCTACGCCTTCGGGCGCGCCAGGATCTGGATCTGGAGCCGGTGGGCCGGGAGAGCAGGACACGGACGTGGAAATGGAAATGGCAACGACGTTCAGTCTCGGGCTGACGCAGAAGCAGAAGAGGGACAGGGAGAACGTCGTCTTGCCGTACTTTGACGCGCAGAAGGAGGGCGGAGCCGCCGGTCCCGGGGAGGGAGGGAGGATCCTCTACGATATGGGCGAGGAGGATCGGGAGGACTTTGATGATGAGGAAGATGAGATATGAAAGCGAGCCTTTTCTTAAATTTTCTTAATATTAATTTTTTTTTTTCTTTTTTTTTAGGAGAATCCTATCTTGTGGGAAATAAGATGAGACGCAAGGGAATCGATTGGGTTATGAAAAGAGATCAGTGAGCACCAATCTCAATCTCAATCTCAAATCTCAATGTACAACCTCCAAAACACCATTCTCCGTAAAACTCAGTCCCTATACTTCCTGTTTACTGGAAAACGCGATTTCTGTCCATATACCAAAGACACCGTGGAACGTGATTTGATTTCATTAGACCAAGTTCACTCTGTGCGTACGTTCATCAACACGACGTCAGATAATGATGATGATGATGATTATGATGATTTTCAAGTTCGAGATTATAGCGCTTCAGTACAAGTACAAGGACAAGTGCAAGTACAGATTAATTACGATTAATTATCTACCTACGTATGCCACCCCGGCTCCTCATCCTCGAGCAGCCAGAGGTGGTCTGATTTGAGAGGCAAGCTATTATTCCGGACACTTCTCACGCTGCTTTTCAACGACGACGACGACGACGACGACGGGGTCTTCCGCCGCGTCACACCGACGCCGATCCAGCCATCAACCATGAGGAACGAGCTCACGGCCGAGGCGACACACATCAGTCCCAGCACCCAGCCCAGCATCGCTAGCCCGCCCTCCTGCTGCAGCGACGCGCCCACGACCGGCCCGCCGAGGATCCCGACCGCGTACGCCATGTTGAGCAGCGCGTAGGCCGTGGCCCTGCACCGGCCCATGTCCGCGCCACCGTCACCCTCTGCAGCGTCGTCAATCTCGGCCTCTTTCCCGGCCACGATCCGCTCGACCTCGGCCATGGTCGGCGCAAACACTAGCGTCATCATCACGCCGACGATGGCGAGCAGCACGCACAGCAGCATTTTCTGGGCGAGCGTGTTGCCGTCCTCCACGAACCGGAGGCAAACGAGCGGTGGCACCATCCCGAGGAAGCCGAAGGTGGTGCCGAGTCGACAGCCATAGGTATCGGAGAGGGCGCCGGTTATAGGGGAGAGAAAGGACGGTAGGGTGAGCGGGATAAAGATCAAGCCGGCGCCGAGAGAGGACCAGTTGAAGAGCTTGAAGACGGTTATGGGGAGGGTCTGATAGGTTGCGTTAGCGAGGGTTAGGGGTAGGGGTAAGGGTAGGGGGTGGAGAACGGTAAGGGGGATTTCCGTACAGATTCGAAGGCGGCGAGGATGAGGGTTGGGACCATGCAGGCCCAGAGTGTGAAGAGGAGATGGGGAATCTTGAGCAGAGACAACATGTTGAGTTCATCCTTTTTCCGCCTCGTAGGAGCCTCCTCGTTGCCGCCGCCTGTGTGAGAGCTCTTGGTCCTCCAAGCTACTGCCTCCATACTCGACTCTGAAGTCTCACTTGGGGAGGCCTGCAGCAGAGGAACTACCGTGGGTGTCCCGAATTGAGCATCAGCCTGCTTGCGGTCGGACCCGGAAAGCCATTGCTCGGCAACTTTTCTCTCGATCATCATGCCTCTCAACGCAGCATCAATCCCCAACACTGCAAAGCCCATCCCAAACACGGAGTAGTATCCGCCATACTCGTACACGACGCCACCTAGCAATGGGCCCGTCAGTTCTCCGACGCTTATAGCGAGGCTGACGTATCCCATGTACTTGCCAATCTCTTTCGAGCTGACGGTATCACAGACAATAGCTAGTCCAACGACCCATACGGCTGCTGCGCTCGCACCTTGAAGTGCACGCCCGATCATGTACATCGTAGTGGAGTGCGAAACCGTTTGTATGGCGAGTGAGAGCGAGAGCAGAATCAGGCCGGTGAGGTAGGGGATCTTGCGGGAGCGAGTGCGGTCCGCGATGAGGCCGAAGAGAGGGGATGTAGCGAGGTAGGTTATTGCTTCCGCTACGAGGAGGATGGCGACCCAGTCTTGGCCTGTGTTACTGTTAATCTGTGTTTTCTCAGTTCCCACAGACGAACACGAAATTACACAACACCACAGCAGAGTTTTGGGGAGACTCCGAGAGTAGTGGGCAGAGGGAATGGATGAAAGGTGTACATACGGTCCTCAGGCGCGACGTTTGCGCGAGATACTACTGCGTCGGGGATCACGGGGATAATGACCCCGTAGAGGAACATGTCCTGCGAAGTGAGATCAGCTCCCACATCCACACCTCAAACAACCGGTCCACCGACCGAGAATAGAGGCACTTACAGTAAAGACACCCGACGAAACCGTCAGGACGATAAACCAGGTCGAGGACCTGGCCTCCCACAGCCACGGCCTCCTCTCCTCCCGCGTCGCTAGGCTCATCGAATTCCCCGCCATGATGGCATATATCTTCCTCTCTCCCTCTCAGAATCAGGAAAACGATAAATGATATCGCTCGTACAGTGAGTGAGCGAGTTATCGATCCTAATATCCTCAGAACCTCAGACCAAAATCACACTCAGAAAACAAAGTTTTTCTAGGATTCTTTGAGATTCGAGATGTGAAAAAGAGAGGAGAAGAAAAATCTACTCATGCGTCACACAAAGCAAAGGTTCAGATGCCAGCCAAGAGCCGTGGATAGAGATGCCTACTTGTACGAGTCGGAATACAAATCGCAACTGCTAGTCAGGAGAATGGGTGCCCGGCCAAAACGCGCGGAGCGCGGGCCGCCGTGTCATGTTTCTGCTTCTCAAACGCGCCATGATCATGGGATAGGCATTCTTGTTTGCAGCGGACTCCTCGTACTGGTGGAGGGAGAGAGGGAGGGAGAGGAAAGTTGCGATCTGAACCGCATGGCAGCGGTGGATGGAAAGCTTGTTCGGACTACCGACGAGTGAGTGACTGAATGGCCAAGGGAGGAGGCTCCTTCTGTGGCTTTCAAAATTCGGGCGACATTTCGATTCTCGGTCTACCGCTGCGATATTTCGTTCGGCATGGGAGTGACAAGGAAGTATGATAATAAAACAAGAGAAAGAGGTCCTATTCAAGCTCTTCTGGCCAACCTGGTGGGATTTAATGACGGTGACGACGACGATAACAATTGCAACAACAATAACAACAACAACAATCTCATACCAACAGCCTGCCAATATATATATATAGAAATAGAAATTAAATCATACCTCTAACGCCAACACCAAGACTCTCTTACGCGACTGACGTTCCCGCCTCTGCTTTGAATTTGAAAATACCATACCATTCGCGACGGATCCATGATCAATCTGCGCAACATCTCTTTCACTAATGGATCGATCAATGAGTCGGTCGGGCCATAGACCGTTTTACGTTGGAAACGGTTGGAGTTTACTAGATGGAGGGAAGAGGGTTATAGGTTGTGTTTGATGTTTGATGTCTTCGCCTTTCGGTCCGCCGGCCTCCCGCTTTCAGATCCTTGGATTGGAGGAGAGGAGGAGGAGATGGGGTGATGATAAGTATGTGGATATATGTGTGTGTTTTTCGTTTTCCTTTTCCTTTGAAGATGGATCGTGGATGTCCTGGTATAGTAGAATGTCAACAACAATGCTGCTCTTTCAGGAAAAGGCGGCCGGGGCGGGCAAAGGCGTTTTGCAATTGCTTATTTTGAATGGGTTGCACAGATAACAACTGGTATTTTGCGAAGGAGAAGGGATGGATGGGCAGAGATGATACTTGAGGACAAGGAGAACGATGTAAGTAGTTCTTCTATGTAAGCAAGCGCAGGAAGAGAAGTTAAACAGGCATACAGGTTTCTTTCCGGGAAGATCATATATACACGTGATCGTCAACCCCTGTCGGAAATTCCAGCTTCGCTACTACAGTAGCTCTAGCTCATAGACATCCAGCTCTTCGCAACATCTCCACAATATCACATCCCCATCACGACCAGTCAGACTCGAAATCGCATATAAGCAAAGATGGCGGAACCGCCACACAAACGCGCGCGCCGCCCCGACAGCACGCAGATGTGGGAGGAATCGGAGCGTCGCGCAGCCTCAAACTCAGCACCACGCGGTCCGCGGGAAGAGCGCGGCAGCGACAGGAGAGATGACCGGAATCGCGAGCGCGAGCGCAGGTACCGAAGTCGGTCGCCCCGGGAATCGAGGGGAAGAGATGGACGGGATAGAGGGGGTAGACGCGATGAGGGTGAGAGGGACAGTAGGACAGGAGGGAGGAGGGATTATGGCGGTGGGCGAGAACGAGATGGAGGGAGGGAGAGGGACTACAGGGGTGATAGGGAACGAGGTACGTGTGCTCCGAAGACTGCGGATATCGCCGTTGCTTTTCGAGCTAGGTCTGACGGTGCGAGTGAAGATGGTGGGAGGGATCGAGATCGAGAACGAGAGACGAGGCCGAGGGAGAGAGAGAGGGAGAGGGGAAAGAGGGATACGAGGAGTAGGAGTCGAAGTCCGCGACGGGAGCGAGAGCGAGAGCGCGAAATCAGGAACAGCATTGAGGCCGAGAAGGAGTACCCGCATCACCCTCACCCATCCGAATCCGAGTCACAGAAAGCCCGCACCGAGACACCGCCTGTGTCTCTTGAAGTGAAGAATTCTGCAGCTAGCGGACAGGACCATGAGCGGATGGATTTTGGCGAAGAAGTAAAGGTCGAAAAGGGCAAGAAAGGGAAGAAGGGGAAGAAAGGTGCAAAGAAGCTAGTGGAGGAGGATGATGACGATGATATCGTGATTGAGGATGATGGGATGGCGGCTATGCAGGCGATGATGGGCTTTGGGGGTTTTGGTACGACACATCAGCAGAAGGTGGAGGGAAATGATGTGTATGCTGTGAGGAAGGAGAAGAAGACTGAGTACAGGCAGTACATGAATCGGGTGGGTGGATTCAATAGGCCGCTCAGTCCTACCAGGGAGAGTTAAAGGGGCACGCGATTGCGTATAACATGCTATGCGTACTGTAAGAGGGAGGCTCAATATGACATGGTATTGGCTTCAGAGAGATGGGGGCATTGGTACTCGGCTCGCCTGCGGTGGCTTCCCAACAACAAACAATACTCGGATAACGCTTGTCAGTAGAAGCCGGATGAACTCATGAACAAGAATGGGTTTCCCCAATACACAGGCAAAGGCCACATCTTTCTGTGATTTTTCTCCGTGATCTACCTACCTAAAACAGCCCAGAAGCGTAGCCTCCCCTGCAGCCTCGTAAGGCTAAATCACAAGAATCCTGCAACGGTGTTAACATCAAGTTCAGCCTGCTCTCCTCTTCTACTCCGTAATTTTCTCTCTACATCCATTTCTCGAACTCCAAATTCCTTCCCCGGAGCTCTGGTAAGCCATCCTCTACCGAACTGAAGAGAGCGCAATGCTTCTCCCCAACACCCTGCGCCTGTCAGTGGCAGCCCTCCTCGCAATATGCGCCGCGGCCGACGATGCCTCGATCCTCTACAATGAGGTCGCGAGGAACAGCAACGAGAGTCTACTATGGGGCCCATACCGCCCGAACCTTTATTTTGGGGTCAGGCCCAGGATCCCGAAGAGCTTGATGGGTGGGTTGATGTGGAGCCGGGTGGATAGTTATGAGATTATGCAGAACTGTAAGTTGGGGCGCTCCCAGAATCTCTGGAACCCAGGGATTTCCAATTGTGTTTTGGAACAAAACCCGCCGAGGATGTAGGCCGGAGGCTAGAGAAACTGGGCTGATGGGTGTCGATGGGGCAGCCTTTAGGCATACGTGCGAGCAGGGCGACAACATGAAAGGCTACGGCTGGGACGAGTACGATGCGCGGACTGGAGGCCAGCAGACGATCTACGATGAGGGGAATGGCATTGACATCAAAACCACGTTTGTTAAGATTCCTGGTGGGAGTAACGGTGGTGGCTGGGCTGTACGTGTTAGAGGCAAAGTCCGCGAAGGCGCGCCTCTGGACTTGAAAAGTACTGTGGTGTGGTACAACTCCCTCGAAGGAGTCGGCAGTCTCGAGATCGAAAATGAGCCGGAGGAGCTGGGCTATGAAGGCGATGTGACGCTGAAGGGTGAGTCCGAGGGATTGGGACAGTACAAAGTTACTGTTACAACGGGCAGAGGAAACCATCCGAAGACTGAGCATGCGTCGTATGAGGAGAAGCCGCTGGATCGCACGATTGTGCATTCGCTTCAGGCGGTAGAGACGACCTTGTGGCAGGTTAAGGGGGTGCTGCTCAAGATGTTGAAGGTGCAGATTGACAAGTACATTGACAGGTTTGGCGAGGAGAACCCACCGCCGCCGTTCCAGCTGTACACTATTGAGAATAAGGCTGGACCAGGAAATCTACATTTGGTGCAGAAGGTGTTTGAAGGGGACTTTGAGTTTGATGTTATTTTCAACAGTGGCTCAGCCGAGAAGGAATACACGAGCCAGGACGTTAGTGAGATTCTGGCGAGAAGCTCGAAGGGGTTCTGGGATCGATTTGTGGCTACTTTTGATCCTCAGCCGCCGTTTGGTGTCGAGAGGCTCCAGAGATTTGCTGGAAGCATGTTCTCAAATTTGCTTGGAGGATTGGGGTATTTCTATGGAGACTCGCTCGTTGATAGATCGTACGCTCCAGAATACGATGAAGACGGCGAGAATTTCTGGATGGAGACTGCTGCCGCGAGAGCCAAGAAGCAAGAGAAGCTTGAGGGCCCCTCGGAACTCTTCACCACCGTTCCCTCAAGGCCATTCTTCCCCCGTGGTTTCCTCTGGGATGAAGGGTTCCACTTGATGCCGATCGTAGACTGGGACTTGGATATCGCTCTCGAAATCGTCAAGAGCTGGTTCAATCTCATGGATGAAGACGGGTGGATCGGCCGCGAGCAAATCCTCGGAGACGAAGCTCGCAGCAAAGTCCCAGTCGAGTTCCAGGTCCAATACCCGCACTACGCCAACCCTCCGACCCTCTTCTTCGTAATCGACAACTTCATCAGCAAAATTCAAGCTATGAACGGCTCTCCATCCACAGCGACGGAGAGTCTCGGCGCAAAGCCCAACTCCGTGTACCTCAAAGACCTAGATCTTGCCCTCCACTACCTTCGTGAGCTCTACCCTAAGCTACGAACACATTACTTCTGGTACAAGAAGACGCAATCCGGCGATCTGAAGACCTACGAACGCGATGCCTTCTCCACCAAAGAAGCATACCGCTGGAGAGGCCGCAGTCCGCGTCACATCCTCACCAGTGGTCTCGACGACTACCCTCGTCCACAACCACCGCACCCAGGAGAGCTGCACGTTGACCTCATGTCCTGGATGGGCATGATGACCAAGTCGCTCAAGAATATCGCTACGCTCCTCGACTACTCGGACGATGTAAAGGAACTCACCACCGCCGAAACCGCCATCCTGCGCAACATCGACGACTTGCACTGGAGCAAGAAAGAAAATTGTTACTGCGATGCCACTATTGACGACTACGAGGAACACTCGTTGGTATGCCACAAGGGGTATATTTCCCTCTTCCCGTTTTTGACGGGCTTGTTGGACCCAGAGAGCGAGAAATTGGGTCACGTGTTGAAGTTGATTGGGAACGAAGAGGAGCTGTGGAGTGACCACGGTATTAGAAGTTTGAGTCTGCAGGATGAATTCTACGGCACGGATGAAAATTACTGGAGAGGCCCGATCTGGATGAACCTCAATTATCTTGTTGTGGTGCAACTCTTGGTAAGCCCGTCCCCCCCTTCTTCCCCTTTCTTCCCATCCTCACATTCTCACATTCTCACATTCTCACATTCTC